GGGGGCACGGGTTGGGGCAGGATGGAAGAGAGGAGCAAGGGCTCTAGTGAGGAATTCGGAACGATTAATAGTGACAGCGGTTGAAGCGATCTTGGTATTTTGAACATTATGTTTGTACTTAATTTAGCCCTGATCGTTCTGGTTTCGTCGCCCTGCTCTTTTTTGTTGTTGTTGATTTAGTTGGCTTTTCTACTTGGTGTTTTGTATTTTGTCACATCATGTGACATTTCGATTAGCGTTCAGTCAGATCCTTCTTTTTCACTGGGATATTTTATGATGTTCATTTATCGGGCCACCGATTTTTGTAAAATTCCACAGGAAATACTTGAAAAGTTACTGATCCTTTTTTTTTCAGCTTGTGCGTGATAATGCCGATCTTCGTTGTGAGCTGCCAAAAATGGAAAAACGACTTCGTGCTGCCATGGATCGCGTGAAAAGCTTGGAAACGGCGTTGAAAGAAACCAAAGAGAATGCTATGCGAGATAGGAAGAAGTTAGCTTGTTTTATAAGTTTTACAAACTTTCTCATTTAGGAATTGCATTTTCATTGCTTTCAATAGCAGAATTTTGGAAGATTGGAAGAGTTAAATGCATTATGATACTTCAGACTTTTTTAACTTTTCTTTTTTTTTTAGGAATTTAGAAAATTGGCTTGTAACTGAATTTTCTTTTTAAATAGCACGTAGAGAAGGGCCAGCAGTACTTAGAAATTATCACGCCACCTTTAAGTGTTTGTACCTCAAAATTAAGTTTAAAGATAAAGGGACTCTGGAGTACTTAACATTTCCATGTATTATTTTAAGGTAAATTTAGAAGGGGTTCCAAGGCGTCCCTACATAATTCCTAACCGTTATTTTTTCAAGCATTGTCATCACGGGTTACTGAGAAATGTAAAATCTGTGTTGTTTAATGCAGCCTTTATAAGTTAAAAGGAGGATCTGTGATCGTTGTGTTTCAGGTATCAGCATGAAGTTGAAAGAATCAAGGAAGCGGTACGCCAGAGGAATCTTGCTCGAAGAGGCCTTGCTGCCCCTCAGATTGGTTCGTATTTTTGTTCTACGCTTTTTCAAATTCCATTGTTTATCTCTTTCTTCATCAGAATAAAATTTGTAGGAACTGGTGGCGATACTCGGTGTATAATTTGATAACATCAGGCGTTATATATAAGTTGGTTCATAAGTTATCAATAAGTTTATTTTAACTTTCAGCGAAACCAATCCGTCCGGGACAGCACTACTCACCGGTGGGCCCAACGATGGCTGCAATGATGGCGCCTACGATGCAAAATTCAATAAAAATCACCGCTCATCCAGTGAATGCAAATTCCATGCATAATAATGGTATGTTAATGCACTCGGAATTAATTTAACACAGACAAGGGGCCTGTTTTTAAGTTGCACCTCGACAATTCATCTCTTTCGTTGTGTACTTATTGTAGATACCCATAAAGATCGACGTTTGGTTTGCTTCAGTGGCTTATGA